CTGCCAACAGCCATCCGCGGGGACATACCAGTTTGCATCGTGCAGGACAGTGAATGACATTTTAACTAAGCAGGCATAGTTTTGAGCTGCAGACTGTGTGTCCTAGCAGCAAGCTGACAGGCTTGCTTTATGTTCTTGCTAAAACTGTATCTGTTTGAATTTTACCATTTTCTGTTTCCTGTGGAATGCATTTCTTCTCTGAAGCGCCCTGTCAGAAAAAAAGACTTTTATTTATTTTTCACAAAAGCTTTAAAAATGAACTCTTCTGTGGTTTTTGAGGGATGTACTTTGTATGAGATGCTAAAGGCAAAGTTTAACACAGCCACGGGATTTTTTATGATACCATGTTATGGATGCATGTAGGAATAGCTGGAAGCCTACCTATGTTATCACTGCGAATTAATGTCAATTCTAGTCAAAACCCAGAAATTACTCATCCCAGCTGCATTTGGGACTACTTCTTGTTCCTTAAAAGCCTGTCCCAAGTTCCTCTCTGACAATTGCACAGATTGTTTTATTTTCGATAAAATACAAACTAGGTAAGTGAAGTTAGGTCTCTCTAGTTCATGGTATGCCGCGTACGTGTATCCTGGATAAAATCCAGGTGAAAACCAAGCTGTGTGTGTTTTTTATGTCCAAGCTGTATGAAGCAGCCTATGTTCCTTTGAGATGACTGAAAACTAGCTACAGTGGCGTCTGAAGGTCTGCAGAAGTACCTGCAGCAGATTCTTATGCAAGTAATTTTGATTGAACTGGATTAAAAAATTCCAATTATTTCATTTGCTGAAATGTGGGATTGATATTCTTTTCATTAATCCACTGAAAGTACTCCATATAAATCTGAAAGCTTTTGCAATAATGAGTTTGATGCCAGTTCCAGAAAGGTACTCAGTAAGCCTCTGTAGTCCCTGTCCGTTATCTGCTCTTACTAGCTGACAGAAAGGATTTAAAAGACCATTTTATAAATTAAGGTGATTCCCACTGAAGGCCTTACGCAGTTTTCCTGACGTGGTTCTGCCCTGCTGATGCCAAACCAGTTTGGAAGCTGCTCTGACAACCAGCCACGCACAGGAAACCGTAACCTTACGAGCGGTTGTCGTTGTTGTGGTCGGTGTTGGCTTAGTGAGTCATGCGTTTGGTTACGAACGCAACATAAAATGAGTTAAAGCCTGTTTTTCTAAAAATGAGCGATGATTAATCTTTCTGATATCTTTTCAGCCACAAATATTTTTAAGTTAATAAATCTTGCGATTCCTTACAGAGATTCAAATGCTTAGCTGTAAAAGAGTCCGAATTGCAGCCTAGAAGTACGTACCAACCAAGATTCCCGCCTGACAAACCGTTATGTTCACTCTCATTATTCAGCTTGTGGAACTATCACGTTTTTAAACTAAAAAGATCGCCACGTTGCATAGTCGCGTGTTGCTTGCTGTCATCAAAACTACGACTTCTATGGCCACTTCTTCAGTTTTCCTTGAGTACCATGAGTCAGAGTTTCATTCTCATGTTTTATGGTAGATGGACAGGAGGTATGGAGAATTTTATCCTCTAGTTAGAAAGTTTGGTGTTGGAGAAAAGAGAGTTTGATGCTTGATCTGCTTTCCCGCCCTCCCCATGTAACGAGATGGATTGGATTCAGGAAATGAGCTTGTATAAATCAGTCTAGTAACTTCTGGGGTTTTTTGTTTTCATGTCTCTCTCTTTCAGATCAATAACAAAGCTTGCGGCAAAGTTTTTGTGCCTCAGCAAGCAGCCCGCAATTTTGAAGAAGTCCACGAGCTAGTTCTTCAAAGTGAACTTGGAGTCAAGCACCTCCAGGGACGAACCATTAAAAAGGCCTTTCTGTCTCCCAGAACTGCCCTCATCAACTTCTTAGTGCAAGAATAGCAAAGGCTCTGCTGGGCTGTAAAAGGGAACTGGAATGTTTCGAGATGAAACCAATTCGAAAATACCAGTTACAGTTATTTAAATCTCATGTAATGGTGGGGAAGAAATGTTATTAAAATCAGGTTGCTGCTAAATCTTCATTTTGACGTGGAGAAATGTGCAGAATTAAAGTTTCTTACTGAGTCACGGTAAGGTGCTCTTTGTCCGTATTCTCTGGGAGAATGAGAAGAAAGCGCAGAAGAACTAAATGATTGTAACAGAATGTGAGTGATACAAAGCGCGTGGGTTTTAGTGTCGGCCTCAAGAATATGTCCTATTGGAAAGCTGCCTTGGCTAAATGCAGAGGCATAAACAAGGTTCCAGGACTGAACTACTGCCCTGAGTATGTGCTACGCCAAAGGTTAGGTGTGCTGCAGTCAGGCTTCGCTGCCTATAGCTCATGTTTGGGGACCCTACCATTCACTAACATTGTAAGTTGTGAGAAAATACTACTACAGAGTGTTAATTTGAAAAAGGATTTCTTTAGCCCTGGCCAATGGCCTCGGGCACAGCAGGTAGCCAGAATGGAGTGGTTTGGGACGTGACATATACGTTTCAGAGCCAAGCCAAGAAAAAGGTCAGGTTATTTAGCCAAGCCCTGCCTTAGCCAGGATCGTCCTTCCTCACTGGTGTATTTGTCTTGGCTCGTCCATGAGGGGTTCAGCTTCAGCAAAGTGCTGGCGGTTGTTTCTGCACAGGACAGAATGTGGTTACTTCCTACGCATGAGCCATCTCGGAGATTTTTGGGGGATTCAAGAAAGGGACAAGTCGGCTGCTGGAAATGCAGGAGCGGGGAAGGCAGACAGCATGCTTTTTGCCTCTACTCCTAGTTCTTGTAGTGCCTAGATCGTAAGACTTGAATTGAATTTTTTTTTTTTTTCTGAGGGGTTCATTAAGTGGAAATAGCTGTCATGATTCTAAAAATCAATCAGACTTTCATAAAACACAGCCGTTCTCATGCCTCATTTCAACCATTTTATTTGTATGCCGCATTGCTGTTATATCCACATGGAAATGTTTATTGTATTTAGCAAATGCTAGAAAAAGGGTTTCCAAAGAAACAGTTACAGGGTTCGTTGTGTAAGAATGTCTTTAACAGCCGTTAAGCTAAGTAGTCCAATAAGCCATTTATGAGCCATTCTGACAGTGAAGAAGTCGGCAGTAACAACCAGCTAGGCAAATACAGAGGTCTGTACTCACCCCCCAGCCCAGCAGCCGTCCAGACGCAGACTAAGAGGAAACCCACAAAAATCTCCCACGTCACAGTAAGTAAATCCAAGAGACCCTCAGCAACTAGGATCAGGACAGAGATGGCATTGCAGTGTGAGTGCTAGCTGAGCAATACCAATATTCGGTGTGGTTTTATGCCCTTTTGGTACCAAGGATCGAGCTACATAAAGAGCTGCCTGGCTCGGCGAGCAGATTTGGCTCCACGTGTCCCCGCTTTTGCAACAGAACTCTACCGATTTCTGCGTCCTCCTGGACCACGCTCCTGCAGATTTTCTCTCCAGCAGTCCTCTGACACAAGAATGACTAAGAAACAGAATATTTGTGCTGAAGATACGGTCTTTGCAGTTTTAAGACTCCAAAAATCTCAGCCACAAAGGAATGCATTCAGACATTCAAACACAGGCCTTTAGTTGGAGTTAAAATAATTTGAATTCCAGTGTCTGCCTGCCATATATGTTGTTATAAAGTCATAAAACTCCTGTTCAGAAGCCCCTGAACGGACTATGAAAGAGATCCTTTAAAGTAAAACCTGTAGCACAGCACAGTCCTGCTTTTTTTTTTTTTCTCCCCTGTATAAAAGTTTAACACACCCTGTGGAACCGTTTTAACAGTTTTTCTTTGGGGGAAAGGTGACATGTTTGGTATAAAGAAAAACTTCTAAAAAATTTACAAGGATGAAGGAAGATGTAAGCCCAGCAGCCCTTCGGTGCCTTTAAACAAAAGCTGCAGTCACCCCAGGGCTGAGGCGCAGCCCGCCGCGTTTATCGCCGTTAGCCCTCGCGGGTGAAGTGACTTGTCGATGTCACTGGGCGATTCAGGCAAAAAATCAAAATAAGGAACGGACTGCTACAGGCTGAAAAAGGAGAGGTGGTGAACAGCAGTTGCACAGAAAGTGTATGGGCAGAAGTCAGGCCAGGGTGTTTGCAGTAAGCTGAAATTCAGTGTGGTCTGGAGGGGTGAAAAAAGGTGGTTAAAAAAGGGAGTGAGAGGGATGATGCAGAAAGTCCGATGGAGCCAAATCCCCCGGCCAGGGCCTGTCTGAACGAGAGCAGAGGTGCCAGCGGTGGAGTTGTGTCGTCGTCCTGACACCTTTCGTGTAAGGCTGACCTGCGCTGAATCATGATTGCCATTTGTCTTACGATAATCGTGACACGGGTTTGATCTGTGCCAAGGAGGGGATTGATGCTGGTAGAGAGGCAGTGGCCTCTCTTTTTAAAATACCTTATCGCAGGCACCTCTCGTTTATTTAACTTGTTACCTGTGTCACGGTACAGATGCATCTTTATGCTGAAGGTGGGATAAAGCGTTATCGCAGGTTGTGTGTCCTAAATAGTACGGGAGTCCTAAATCTGGGAGGGGAAACTTGAGAGGCGAGGAGGAAGGGTACCGAGGGGCCATCAGTCGAATTGCACCGCGTTCGTCCCGCTCGTTAAAACGCAGAGGGTGCCACTGTCCTTATTCTGTGAAGTGATGAGCCTAAGGAGACGTGGGAGATTTGCTAAAGCCAGCGGGATAGACCCGGGACAAACTACTCCAAGAAACAGATCCACGACACGGAAGGGGCATTTTCTGCACCCTGTCGCTCAAGGTGATGGAAGAGTGCTCACGGCACTGATCCAGTCTCTATCAAATTTCTATTTTAAGTAATATAAAATTTAAAAAAGAATTATTGGCACACTTTCTACCCCAAAATCGTTCATGCAGCTGGATTTCCAAAAAGTCCAGCCTTCAAACATTGATTCTGGAAAAATAAAAATTGGCAAAGTCCTGAAAGGTTGCGGAGTGCTTTTCCAATGCCATCGATTTCACGAGAAAGGCTCTGGGGCGATGGGGGCACCGAAATGTGCTGGAAGAGACCACCGTGTAGAACAATGCGTTCCTCGGCGTGGGCGTTTCGCGGTCCTCTCCAGGGACGGAGGTGGCACGGACGGGCGGGTGCTGATGTGCAGCAAGGCCACAGGGCTTTTCGCATCCCCTTAAGGAGCAGTGTTAGGGCTTGGGTGAGGAGCCCAGACACTTCTCCAGCCAGGCTGTCCCACCTGTGCTTCCAAAAAAACCTATACGAGGGCATTGCCGAACAAGCATCTGTTTTTCCGTGCCCTTCACCAGAATCCAGACCCGGAGGTTTGGCGCAAAATAAAATCTGTGTGCGCTCTCGGTGCCTTAGCGGATTAACGTACCATCTGGTTAATGATGGCTTTTTCTGATCTGACCTTGAAAAAGCCTGCTTGTTTCTGCTGGAGGGAGCAGCTCCACAGATAAGGCAGGTCATACAGTCTCTCGGCTTTGTCTCTCCTTCTTCAGCGTAAAGCCTCACAGAAAGCTGTTCCTCTTCTCTAAACTTTTTACAATCAACATGAGCTGGAAAGAATGTTAATTAGCACTTTGCTGGTTGTTCCTCCCGAGGAAGGTTTGCAGTACATAAGATTTTTCTAAAAGCTTGGCTATAAATGAAGCGGGGAGAGATCACTGGGGGTTTTTTTCTAGTTTTGCAATACTTACTACAGTTTACAGAGAGGGGATTGGCTCTATTGATGTATATTTACCCACTTGGAAGAGTACACACAGTGGGTTTGCTGGGTGCTTTTTCTGCTGCTTTTTTTCTTCAGTCCCCTCCTGTTCCGACCTGCGCTGATTTTGTGTCAAAGGGCCGTGCCGAAAGAGAAGCCCGGTCTATCGCCAGAGCCCGAGTGGTGAACAGACTTACGCACACGCTGGTTTCTGTCAGTCAGTTCAGGTAACGTCTGCTTTTGACTTTAAAAAACGTTGCTGGAACTACAGCCGTAGGGTTTGGTTTTTTTTATGGAAACAGGGTTTGTGTCTCAAAGCAGAAGCGTGAAGCTGATCACAGCTCCGAGCCGGTTTTTAGCACGTCCCAGCCGCAGCAGGGGGAGAGCTGAACCGGAGCGTGATCTCTGCCCAGAGCTCTCATCTGCAGCCCAGATGATAAAAGAGATGATCTTGCCTGACATGCAGAGGAAAGGTGGGATTTTTATTTTTTTTTTTTTCCCTTTCCTGAATAAAGCCACTTTCCGGTACCGCAGAGCGTTCTGCAGTTCACTAACCCCGTCGGTCCCGGCAGACCCCGAGTCGCACACAGCCCGCGTGGCTTGTGGCTCTTCTCGCACCCGAGCCAGCCTTGGCTTGGATAAGTCCAGGTCCGGTTTTAGCCCTGGCGAGCTGCAAACCGGCACAATCTTCCATACGAAGTTAGCTCTAGTTTTATGTGTAGTCGGAGAGTTAGGACAGGTTTTCCTGGGTTTATGAGTTGTTAGTGTCTCCAAACGGGAGTGGTTTTGCCTGGATGTAGCGACGTTGCAGAAGGAGGGGTCGCAGATGGGCTTTGTTCTGTCTGCCTTGCCTTTGCGATGGCCACGAGAGACTGGAAGCTCCGTCAAGGTCAAGCGGACGCTTGTATTTGTTGTCAGGGGAACACGGCCCAACCCCTGAGAGATTTTGATCACAAGAATCTCATCAAAAATACCCCCCGGTATTGAACACCCGGGACGTTTCCGTGTACGCTCACCTGCCCGCGCCACACCGCTTCGCCCTCCGTTTCAGGCCGCTGAGTTGCTCGCTCAGCAAAGGAAGGTGTCAGTGGGAAACGCTGAAGTACGGTGGGGTGAATAGTCCCATTCTTTCTGCTTGCCCTCGTGATGCTCAGCCTGGGACGTTTGGGGCATAAGAAGTTGTTTTCTGTGAAGAGCCTGGTCTTCTTCACTATAACTCCAAGCAGAACGTGTGCATTTACGTGAACAGAAACGGGTGCCTTTGTGCTTGCTCTCTTGGGTACGAGCACGCTCTCTGGGCTGGCTGCAAGGGTCACAGCCAAGGCTCCGAACTTCCTTACCGACCGGTGGGTTTTCTACACGTGCCCAAAGCGAGCGTGGAAGCTCCGAGGCTCCCACCCACCTCCCACGGCC